GTCGGTGCTCGACTGGCGCGAGTGCGAGCCCGAATCGGGCTCCTTGAAGAACGACTCGGGCAAGATCTTCTTCCGCCACGAGCTGGGCTTGGGGTTCATGACAGAGTTGAAGAGGGCTTCGAGGTCCGTGTCGAGGTCCTGCGTGACGTGGATCACTTGCTGCCCGGGCGGCGGGAGCGGAGGGGGCGCCGAGGCTGGATTCATCTTCTGCAAGGAGAGGGAGGTCAGATCAGCCTTTCCTTTAAAGTCGGAGAGTGGGGGGGAGAATAGAGAGAGAGGAAAGCGAGGAGACAGAGGGGTGTCGGCCTCAGATCCCAGACACTCGGCGTCAGCCCGGCCGGTGGGGGAGGGGTCCCTCCTAGCGTGGAGAATTATGCAACTCGGGAAGCAAAGAAGTCCCCGGGAGGAGGCGGAGGGCGGGCGGGGGCGCAGGAACCGCGCTCGGGATGTTGCTGAACTGCTCGTGGCAAGGACAGGTCTCCGCTTTGCAGGGCAAGCAGCCCCCCAGCCCCGAGAGAAAGCTCAGCCCGAACCACCCCCACTGCGTCTCGACTCCAGAGCCCCGAGGGCCTGCGCCCTGGAACGGTGCCGGGGAGCGGGCGCGCTCCGGCGGGCACTACCTGGGCGCGCCGCAAAGCCGAGCCTGAGCGTGCGGCCACCGCCGTCCCGCCCGAACTTGCCGTCGGGCCTGGGTCGCTCGGGTGCGTCCCGAGCTTGCGGAGCTGAAGCCGAGGCCCGGCTGGCAGATCCCGACCCGACTCGGTGCCTAGCAGCCGAGGGGCTTCGGCTCTCACATCCCCCGAGCTGGCCTCAGGCGCTCGCGCTGGGTGAGGAGGAGGCGCAGGAGAAGCAGACAGCGCGGCCGCAGCAGCTCCCGGACTATCCCATAAACAAAGTTTGGAGCAAACTCCCACCCCCAGGAAAGAGGCGGGCCCGAAAGTGGAGCTGTTGAATTATGCATGACCTCCCAGCCCCGAGCTGCCTGCCCCCGCTCGCCCCGCCTCTTCCTTCCCCTCCTCCTCCTCCCACCCCCGCTCCAGAAAACCCCGGGCGTGATGGCACTTCACAGGGTGGGAGGAGACGGGTGCCCCCCCAGCCGCTCCTCCCGGCCGCGCGGATCCCTCCCGCGGAGCCCTGGATCTGCATTCCTTTGAGTTTACCACGAACTTGGGGCGGGATCAAAGGGAAAGTGGCTCGAGCCAGTTTAATCAAGGGGTTGTGGACCGAAACCAAGGCTGGAGGTGGCGGGGAATACGCGGGTGAGGGGCCCGGGCCGAGGAGGGGCCGGTCCCGGGCACCACGCCCTCCCCTCGAGCCCGGCGCCGAGGACCCGAGCGCCCCGGGAGCAGCGCTGACCCGCGATACTGCCCGAGGGCGGGCCTGGGTGCGCCCGGGCGCGGGGAGACACCAACAAGGCCAGACTTTCCGCGGGAGGCTGCTTAGCGCTTGTGACCATATTTGGTCTGTTGAGGAGGCATCTTGGCTGCGTGGCTTTCAATTGTCTGCTAGAGCGCAGACGGTGCCCAGAAAGTGCTTCTATCGCTGGAGATGCGGCTTCGTCAACGGGTGGGTTGTAAATAAACCGTCAAACCATTCATCAATCCTTAGTTTCTTCTACAGGATAACTCAGGCCACTAGGGATTGGAAAGAAAACAGGTCAAAGCTGGGTCCTGCAAGGGGAGAGCAATTGCGCCCCCCTCCGCGACATGCTTGCGGGTGGTAGGAGGATTGGAATGTTCCTGACGCCCTCCTGGGAGCCTGGATCCAGGATGGACCCAAGCAGGTGTCTGGGAGTAGAGAGGGTGCGCCAGTGACCCGGAAAAAGCCACTTACCCTCCCACCGACTGGATCTGGACGAGGGGTGGAGACCCCCTGCCTCTAGCGAGGGGGAGGAGGTCAAGCCTGGCGAGAGAGCTGCGGGAAGTGGGAGGCGGCCTTACCCTCAGGAGCAGCTCAATTCCTTCTCTCCCTCCTGCTCTCTCCATTTCCGGGAAAGGAAGGGTGGCAGCGAGGTAAGTGACATTCCAGGAAGCCCCCCTATCCCATCCCATTGGATTCAAACAGAAGTTTATTAAATAAATCAAATGAAGCAATGTATGTAAAGCACTTTGCACAGCGCCTGGCTGGCCACACAAGTGTTTGTTAAACAAAATAGAATTGTATTAAGTTCAGGTATTTATACCTCAACTTTTTATAAGGGCGATTTAAAGTCAGAATTAAAATCTTGAGTTGCCAAGAAGGAGAAAAGTTTAAAGGAAAAACAAGGTTTTCCCGTAGTTTTGCCTTGGAAAAGGTAGGAGAATTTTGGGGACACTCAATGAATGGCTGCATCCCTTACCCAAAATTTTGTAAAGCCCACCAAAGTTAGCCACCTCCCCTATTATCTGTACTTTGGGTGTGCTCTGATTCCAGACTCCTTACAGACTGGGAAACATCAGGGCTGCCTTAGACAAAGACAGGTGTGTGGGTCACCTTCAAAGGTAAGTAGAACATGGTTCCTTTCAGGAGCCTCTGGAACCAGGTGTTTTCCATGCAGCAAGTTCTTAGCCCATAGGACTACCACAGGGAAGGGGAAAGCCACTGCAGGTCGCTCCATGGGAAGCAGAATCTTTGCAAGCTATGCTCAGATGTCACCACAGTTGCAACAATGAAGAAATTAGCTTTGGAAGCAGAGGAAGTGACTGGGACCAAATGGTTCCCAAGGCTGACCTGATGATTAAAGAATGGAAACTTGAGGCCAGCCCTACTCCGTAAGGTCCTCACCCCCCAGAAGAAAGGTGAGAGTCAGTGTTGGGATGGATGAGCAAGGATGCAGTCTTCATTCCTTGCCAAACTTCAAGAAATAGACAGTGGAGGTCAGAGGAGTAGATGTCTGAAATGGAAATTGCCCTGATCACAGGATAACTTAAAGACTCTCGGTTCCCAAACAGCCCATAAGATGTGATAGTGGATGATTCAAGAGATTTGCTGTCATCCCAGCCCTTCCAACAATAGCTTCAGATTAAACAATATTTACAGGTGCCTTGTGTGTATCAGTCAAATGAGAGGCATACACACATACATAAGAGGCAGCATGATGTAATGCGTAAGTGTTTAATTTCTGGACCAAAAAACCTGAGTCACCTCAGGCAAGATACTTAAGCTGTCTATTCCTGAGTTTCCTTCTTTGTAAATTAGGGACAATAACAATACCCACCTTGAAGGATTTTTGGTTAAAACACTATACAAATTTTATCTGTTGACCCATGGTTTAGAACTCAGACTTTGAAGTATCTGGCTGTACCTTCTACATTGGGCAAGTAACAGCCTCCCTAAGTCACAGTTTATTCACTGACAATTTGGAGATGATATTGTGGTGGTCTGTTACACTGCTGCCCTTCAATGGCCAGCCTCCTGTTATTCACACCCTTATGTTGTTCCACTTAAATCTGAACTGGGCCAGTAATTTGCCTGAGCCAGGAAAATGTAGCAGTGAATCTGGGCTAGTCTCCCTACCCCCATCCCATCACCTAAGAAGGTGTAGAAGAAGCTTCCGCTGAAGTTTCTACCTGAGCCACTAGGAAGAAGTCCAGTTACCTTGCTAGAGAAACCACATGAAGGAGAGGCTCTGAGATATGTGGAGAGAAAAAAATTGCAGCTACCCAGCATCTGAGCAGAGCCCAGCCCCCAGCCAGCCCCCCAGGTGAAAGCACACACGCATCAGTGACCAATCGTAAGACCAGCAAAACCAGAGAGCTGAGCCCAGCCCAGATTGCAGACTTGTGAGCAAATAATATAGATATTGTTGTAAACCACTAAATTTTTGTGTTTTTTTAAAATGCAGAATGTGCCTTCTAAGGATTAAATGAGAAAATACAAATAAAGCTCAACACAAAGCCCTCAACAAATAATGGCTATTATTTAAGTCTCATGGAGACCCAAAGAATAGATAAAATATTATATATCCCCATTTTATAGATAAGGAAACTGGAACAATGAGTTTTAAAATATTTTGTCCAAATAGTTACTATGAAATCATAATAAAACCCTGCGATTCAGCCCAGAGTTTTTAACCCTAGAGCACAGAGCTTTTTCCACTCTCCCACCCTGTGTTAACCAGGAATTGCTCCCTGGTATTGCCATTTTAAAGCAGTGTGATACCTTCTGCCTGATTATCTCATAAACTCCACAGATTTTATATGATAATCAATTGAGAGTACACTCCTGCTGATATGTAAATCTTTCTCCCCATTTGCAAACACTTTCCACCTGAAGTCTATCACCTGCTTCCAAATCCTCCCAAGACACTTCCTACTGAAGCTTCCCTTGAGTCATTCCTCCCACCTCCCCCTCTGTCCACATCCAATCAGTGGCAAGTGCTGTTGATGCTGTCATATGGTGTCCCTCCAATCCATCCTTCCTTTCCCACTCCCACAAGACCTTATCTTGAAATGCTCACAGTGGCCTCTTAACTGGTTTCTCGGCCTCCAATCTCTTGTCTCTGGTCTGTTTTCATGATGTCATTCCCTGGCTCAGAAGTTATTTAACAACTACCCACAAGAATAAAGGTCAAAGCTATCGATCAAGTACCCAAGGTCTCCCAACGAACTGCCGCCTTCAGAGCTTTCTGACCTTGGTTCTTACATGGCCCAACAAAGAAGTGTCCTTCATCCACTCCAGCCAGGCTGTCCTAAGCATATTTGGTCTATTCCTTCACTACACCTATCTCTTCTGAACCCTGATCAAAACTGCCCCCCAAATAGTATTGTCAAGCCTTCATTAATCTCTCCCATCTTTCCACTAAATTCTTGTGGTTCTTGTCTTTTTCACTCCCTTGACATATAATCAAACATAACACTGCTTTATACTGTATTTTAACATTAACCTTAGTATCTCTTGTCTCCTCAACTGGATTGTAGATAGCTGTAGGGCTAGGAGCACCTTACATTTCTTTATGGAATTGCTCCTAGGAAGCCACAGTGCCTCACTGAGGCCATGATGACCCCTGTGTGATTTTGGCCATTGCTTTTTCAGCACCATTAGTGTACTCTCAACAGTTTGTAAGGTATTCTCCCACCATTCGCTACAGTTTTGTCACAAATTATGGACTGAACTCCTTAACAGGATTGCAAGCTCTTTGAGAAAAAATCTGAGGCTTTATTTTCTTTTTGTCTTTCCTGTGCCTGACAAGGCGTTCTCCATGAAGGAGTGCTCGGTACATGTGGTTGCCTAGCCCAGTAGCTGTGGTCCCTACTATTCATCTGCCATGTTTGCCTCAGGAAAGCCTCAAGCTGCTTTCCTCAGTCCTACCCCCTTGGGTTGCTGACTTGGTCTGAGTGACCGATTTCAGCTAAGGGGAATGGTTAAAAACTTGGCAGGATGGTTAAGTTGTTAGAAGAATATGGCCCAGAAGCCCTTGAGGCAGACAGAACCTGCCTGGACTTGCTGAACCAGTATGGAGAAAATTCCCAGAGCAGGGGTTGGGCTACCATTTGCAACTGAAAAGGAGCAAAACAGACAAGGACCTTGAAAAGATACAGGTTTAAATAACAGAGTTAAAAAAACTGTTGAATAAGGTTAATCTTTATCTCGACATGAGGATGAATTGGCAGTTCCTTGACAAATCAAACGTGACACTTGTGTATTCATAATTTACCACACCCCAAAGTGTCCAGCATACAGCGTGTACACAAATGCTTAAATCAAAATGAACTGGAGCAACAAATATGATGTTGATGGGGGGGAGGAAAAGGAGGAATTGGTAAAGGGACATGAAAATCAGCTACATTGTATATTGATA